CTTTGAAGAAAAAATATTAGGAGTAATATATTTTTTAAGATAAAATGTATAACCCGAAAAACAATTTTGAAGAAAAAATATTGCCAGTAATACATTTTTGAAGAAGAAATATTACCAGCAATACATTTTTGAAAAAAAATATTACCAGCAATACATTTTTGAAGAAAAAAATATTACCAGCAATACATTTTTGAAGAAAAATATTAGCAGTAATATATTTTTGAAGATTAAAAATATTACCAGCAATATATTTTTGAAGAAAAAATGTTACCAGCAATACATTTTTGAAGAAAAAAATATATTACCAACAATACATTTTTGAAGAAAAAATATATTACAAACAATATATTTTTGAATAATATTACCAACAATTAAAATCTTGTTGGCATTAAATAACCCAATGAGGTTGACGTAAAACAAAACAAACCTAAGCAAACAATGGAGTGTACGATCTACTGATTCTCAATACATTTTGTTTTTAGTAAATATTTTTTCTCTCCTGATCCGTCTGAAATTATTAAGTTATAATTTAGGCAACATTAGAAGAGAACATTTTTTTTATTAATCACTTCACCGGGAACAACGTAATAAATCAAGTAAGACGCAATGTATCTACTGAGTGTGAGTGAATATGAGAAAAAGAAAACACTATTAATGAGAGAGGACAATAAAAGAACAGGAATTAGGAAGATAGAAAATTACGATCGACATTGCATTTAAATTTTTGAAGATCAAAGTTGACTTGAAAGCAAGAATCAGGAAAAGACATCCACAAGGAAGAATTGAGAGAAGAGAAACACTTAACATAAAACTACAGACACATTTAGCCATTTCAACTCTAAAATGATGAGACCTAACTGCCAAATTTGTATTGCGCTTAAATTCGTAAATATTGGTACCAAAATGATATCTTATCTGAATAATTGCCATTTAAATATTTATAGAAAATTCACAGACAAGCTACGCTACTACGGTGGGAAAATAACAAAAGCTGGGATGCAAGATCAGGACAATTAACATTGCATATTCTTCTTTGGATTTTATCAAGGATCTCTAAATGCATAGCAGAAGTACCGGAGCAAACGTTATAACAATATCCAAATCACGGATGATTGGTATACTTATAAATGTGTAAGATGGATTCTAGGCGAGAAAAATTGTCTAGCACGATACATTGAGCCAAATTTCCTAGCGACAGACGAAGCAAATGATTCACTATAATCTTTCCAATACATGTCAGCGGAAAACTTTAGCCGAGAAAGGTGCAAATGAGTCACACTCCTTGGTGTTAGAGTAAGGCATGTTGATGGAAGACAAACAATACTCTGAGCCCATTAAAAGGGAATAGTTTCATTTTGGACAAGTCAAAATTAACAAAAACCTTTCTTTCAGATCGTATGCCATTTTTTTTCTTTAGATCAGCTGCCAATCTGACATTATCGAAACGATAAGAATTAGTATTAAAAGAGTTGTAAATTTTGTGCCATGGAATGTATTGGAACACTTCTTGCTAGTATAATTTTAATTACTCTTGTACTGCGTAACGACATGATTACCTTCAAATTTGTGTAATTTTGCTAATGTAATAACTATCACCTCTCTTTACGTCACTATTTTAGTTTTCCCATGGATTAAATATTTGTTTCTATTCTTACGTCATCCTATCATTGTATAGACTAAGAAACGGAATCTGATTATGCCATACTTAAAATTATTGTTTATTCAATTACATAATTATTCAGTTAATATCGCTGAGTGATTTGTGACTTCGATGATTACACTAGTCAACACGATTTTTGGTGTCAATAAACAAAAAACATTTTTTTAGCTAATTTTATGGTGCTTATTCCGAAAATGACTTTAGTTTTCATGGTTAGCTAGCGTTTTCGCTGTACTGAAATTACTCATTTTTGGAAGAAAGATAAATTTACGATCTTAGCAGATCGCAAAATTTAGTTAATAAAGGTCATAGAAACCCATCAATTTTCAGGAAGGCCGAGCAATCTATGTCAGCCACCTGAAATAAACTATTTTTATATGGAAAAAATGTTTTGAGTCAAAAATTTTAAAATAGAAGTAACGAATTTTTCCAATTTATCGCCAAAATTCAAATTAACTGATAAACTTTATCAGTAATACACATTAGTAAACATGATATAAAAAATATCGTAGAATCTTCTGCTTGATATTCATAAATTTATCCCATCACTTTTATCCTTTCACTACGGAAGGAAACCAAGCACATTGAGAGCATTTTGTTTTCACAGTTGGAAAGAAACTCCAACTAAAGAAATCTCAATTAAATGCACCTATTCCATTGTAAATGATACTGCTGGAGTATCAAAATGAATTTAGATAACATTGAACATGACAATGAAGAAATAGAAAATGTTTACCATAGTTTTTATGTTCATGAATTTTATTTCTGATGTTAGTTTTATAAATGATTTGATGAAAATCCTTGTTGGTTTGCTATATTCAATCGTATTGTTTTTAAAAA